TGCAGGCAGTTTTATCTTGGGCTCAACCGTGAGGACAGGACTGTGCTTTGCCACAGCCCCCGCGGTGTTTTGAGTCCTTCTGAGAGAAAGGGCTCCTGTGCACTGCAAGCACCAGCCCGAGTGAAAACGGACGAAGGCGCAGAGGCTCCAACAAGGACTACCTTGACCGCAGCAGACTTTTCCGCTGGCCACACTTGGCCCCAGGAAAGCCCATTGTCCCCGCAGGACTGGCCCCTGGTCCTCCTGAGGCTCAAGCTCCCTTGCTTTTTGGAATCTTCCCTCCTCAGCCCCCAGCCTCATCAAAGGCTGCCTTTCCTATTCACTGCTGCTTTGACTCCATTAGCCTCTGAGCTTGTGGAAGAAAAGAAGAACCTAATTTTCCCTGGGCCGAGAGGGCTCAGTGCCAAGAGACTGTGGTCAATCACTCGTGAAACTCCGATCTCAGGAGGAAGGAAGTTTGGGACAAATACCAAGCTTCCACCATCCCCCACTGCAACTCAGTTATTAATAACTTTACAGGAGGAGCAAGTAGGCCACAGCTTCAGCAAGGGTAGACCGGGAATAGCTTCTGCGCTAATGCCAACGCCTGCCTCTGTGCCAGAAGGCCCATCCCATGGAGCCAGCCTCCAGCCAAAGCTGCAAGAGAGGAGGGCCCAGAATAGACGGTGTGCTTCAGCTAGATTTGGCAGCTCCTCCCAGGCGTGGCTGCAGGGCACAGCCGGCGCCAGCAACAGCTCCCCAGACTAGCTTTAGTAACTCAGGCCTTTGTTTTGGTTATGTGCTAAATCCAAATAGGCTTCATTGTGAGGGCCGTGAAATAAGTTCTGAATCTCTGACGCACAAGACTACATAAAGCACAGTGACCCACAAGCCCAGCCTTTCACGCTTGCCTTGTTTGAGTTGCCCGATACCGAAAACTGCCGGCTTACCTGCTGAGAAACTAGCACTCTGTGGGGCTCCCTAACAGCTCGCTTGGAAGTCCGGCACTGATGGAGCATCGCCCCACAGCGTGACAAGTCCTTGCCCACCTGACCACTTCAAAGGTTATTATAAAATGTGACACTGAGAAATCAGACGAGTGATTTAATCCCACCTTCCTAATTGAAGTCTAACAGGCAAATTTAACTTGGAAATCATCACTTATTGCATTGATTACATGGTCTGCTCAAGTCTCAAATTCAACAGACTTTAGCTCTAAAATCAATTGCAGTTTTTTTTTTTTTGGTAGAAAAAGTGCTGTTTCCTATAACCCCACATTACGGAGAATGGTTTGACAATAGATTCCTCTCTTCCCTTGGCTCCTTCCAACCTTCCAGATAGAAGCCTGCCCCCTGCAAAGAGCACAGGCAAAGATGTATTAGCATAAATAATTTATTGTAAACTCTCTAATAGCATACACTGGTGAGCCTGACAATTCACTCCAGAGGATTCTGGGATGGAGGAGCCAGGAGATAGGGAGTGTCGTGAGTGTAACCTGTGAGGACTGATTGCTAAGGGGCAGATTTCATTCCGTAGCCTACTGGCTACGTAGGCTGACCAGTCGTGGTCAGCCAAGCTGTGTTGGGCAGGAAGGAGCTGGGCCAGGCCAGGAACACGAAGTTCTCCTTTGGCCGGTTCAGCTGAGGTTTCCAGGCCTTCCTCCTGTTTCCTCACTCATGGGCTTGTGCGGGGAGGGAGGCGTGTTAAGCTGCCAGGCTTGCGGGTGCTACCAGTTGAGCGTGGGGACCCCAGTCTAGTCCTTGGCTGGGGAAGGCCTCCAGGGACTTGGGCTTTCATTGCAGTATCTTCAGACGGGTCGGGATGAGGGATGAGGCCCTGCCCTTGGGGGGCTGCTCTCCCTCTGTGGCGTCAAGGAGCTGCCGCATGTAGCAGGAGGTGCCGAGGAGCACATGGCCTGTGGCCTGCATGCTGAAGAGGGCCCACCGGAGAGCTTCCCTGGGTGGAATGAAAAG